CCACACAGAAGATCTCCCATCTTTTCTCCTGAGGAGGAGCTGGTGGGTTTAAACTGCACAGCACCACTCCTTCCCTCTTGGCCCCCAGAGTTCCCCACAGAAGGGGAACAGTAACACCTCTTTTCCTCAGGGTTGAGGCTTGATGACGTCAACTTGCCCCATCTCAGGAAGGTGAACACAGTCACCTGCTTCTGGAACCAAGCTGATCTCAAGTTATTCTGTCCTCAGATGGAGACTCTCTGTCACTGGTGGATGCAGACTTGTGGTCTCTCTAATACTGAGAGGTGAGTTTCGCTACTTTGTGATTTTAGGAGACAAGGAGTCAAGGAGGTTGGGTCACTTACCTGGGTCCCCAAGGTGTATCTAACAGAACAGAGATGCTCACCTGAGTTATCAAGCTTGCAAGACACCTGCTGTGACTGCCTATACTCCTGACCCACTAGAAAGATTCAGAGAGGGCTCACCTCTTGGATGCTCTGGCCTCAGGGAGATGCTGGAGTCCCTCGCTCTGATCACTTGGTCCTCAGGACTCCAAACGATGTTGGAGACTGTAGCTGCAGGGCCTCCCCAAGCAACGTGGCTCTGGGCTCTACTCTGGATCTGTTTCCAGGATCAAAGGATCTTTGCTTTGTTCTCTCTACAAAGTAGATGAGGTGCTTGGGCTACAAAAGGGAGGGTTTATAAATGCAAAAGCTTCCTCAAGAGGCTTAGAGCTAATGGACCAGAGCACAGAGCCTGGCAGGGCAGTGCAGGGTGCAGGGAAATGGAGGAAGAACCTAAGGCCCTGAAGTGCCTTGCTTTGTGCAGCCCTGATAGAAATCCACGGGAGACTTCAAAGCATTAGGGACCAGAGTTGGAGAGTTAGGGTGGAGTTGGAGAAAGACAGTCTCAAACTGGAAAAGCCATTATGACCACCAGTAGTTGAATACATGAAAACTCTGCATTAGGAACCCTTTCAGACCTCGCCCTCTGAAATGTAATTGCATTATATTCCTAAGCCTGTGAGTCCTGCTAGCAAATTTTCTAACTCAAGGATCTGAAGTCAACAAGAGATCCAGTCTTGTCCTTAGCTCTTGAAAGCAATGGGGCAAAAACCTAGTAGAGGTTAAGGAAATGGCAGTGGAAGCAGGAGTGGTATCTACTTCCTAAACCACATGCCTCTGGAAACTCTATGAACTTGATGAAATGATGACAGTTATGGAAAGGCACTCAACTCGACAGCAATCAACAACAATAAAAACAAATGTTAGAAGAACCCCAAGCCTGGTAACAAAGGCCTCATCCTGGAGTTCTTCCCTCAGTTCTGAACAGAGGACAGTGCCTTTTCGGAAGGCTCGACCAAGGAAGGCTCTCCTTCCAGACTCTTGTGACTGTCAGTAGAATACTGTTCTTTATAGACTCTTGACTTTACTGTTGGTCAAATGCCACCTTCAGTTCCTTGTCACGTGGGTCCCTAAATTATGACAGCTCATGCTAAAGCCAGAGGTGAGAGGGGTCTCAGAAGCTTAGATGCACTGCGGTTGTGCTGGATACTTGCACTGGAGACACCTGCTCTGTTCCCAGATCATCCTAGGTCCTCGCCATGTGAAGCATCTTTCTGTCTTTCTTTTGTCTTCTGTGCTGCCCTTTGGAATCTTCTATTCAGCTCCTTAATGTCTTGATTTCTTCCCTTTGCTTTGGTTTCTTGGCACTCTAGTACAATATTCAGAGTCTCCTCTGATGATATCTTGGTACTTTCTTCCTCCTCTGTCTTCATACTGTCCCCTACATTCTTCCTGGACGATATTCTTGATATGTTCCCACAGTTCTTCTGGTCTCCACTCATTCTCATTAGTGTTTAAGGCCTCAAACCTGATTCTGAGATGGTTTTGACATTCGAGTAGGATAGACTCAAGGTCACATTTTGGCTCCTGTAGATGTGATTTCATTTTCGTTAGCTTCAGCATGAACTTGCATATGAGTTGTTTGTGGTCTGTTCCAGAATCACCACCTGGCTCTGTTTTCACAGCTAATATTGAGATTTTCTAGCAATTCTTTCCACAGAATTGATCTGATTCCTATACATACCATCAGGTGAAATCTATGTGAATAGCCTGTGTTTCTTATAACCAAGTTGTGCCAAGAAATCTGCAGGACAACCACCTGCCCAACTGACTGGAAAAGATCCATATTTGTTCCTATTCCAAAGAAAGGTGACCTAACATAGTGCAGAAAATATCAAACAATATCATTAATTTCACATGCAAACAAGATACTGCTGAGATGTGCAGGCTGGATTTAGAAGAGGTCATGGTACTAGGGATATTATAGCTAATGATAGATGCATCTTGGCTGAAAGCAAAGAGTACCAGAGGAATGTCTATCTGTGGTTCATTGACTATGCAAAGGCATTCAACTCTATGGATCACAACAAACTGTGGCTGACTCTGAGAAGAATGGGAATACCAGATCACTTGATTGTGCTTTTGCAAACTCTATTCTTAGCCCAGGACGCAGTCTTCAGAACAGAGCAAGGAAACACTGCATGGTTCAAATATCAGGAAGGGTGTATGCCAGGGATGTGTCTTATCTCCATCCTTTTTCAATCTATATGCAGAACACATTGTCCAGGAGGCTGGGCTCTATGAAGAAGACTATGGCATCAGGATTGGAAGAAGACTTATCCACAACTTGCATTATGCAGATGGCACAAGCCCTGCTTGCTGAAACTGAGGAGGATGTGAGGTGCTTTCTGCAGGTCAAGGATTGTAGCCTTAAATATGGAGTGAAGGTCAACATCAAGAAAACAAATACTCTCACCACTGGGCCAAATGGCAATGTCATGATAGATGGGGAAGAGATTGAGATTGTTAACAGCTTCCATTTGTTTGGCTCCATAATCAACACTCTTGGTGCCAACAGCCAGGAAATCCAAAGCAAAGTGCATTAGGAAAGTCTGTGGTCAGGGACCTCTCCAGAGTACTGAAGAGCAACAATGTCAGTCTGAAGACTAAGCTGTGCTCATTCAGGCCATAGTCTACTTAGCCACTTGCTAGGTGTCAGAAAGCAAGACAATGACTAGTGATGACAACCTCTCAGCTTTGCAGGTCTCCTCTCTGTGCCTCTGTACAGACTCCACTCAGCGCCCTCAGGACAATGCTCCCTTCAGCCACACAGCTCTCCTCGCCCTGAGTGGGGGCTGTGAGGCACTTACTGGACTCTCGGTTACCATCCCAGCAGACGGTCTCTGTTGTCACACCACTTCTGCAGCAGGACCTCTCCAGCTCCTTTACTATCTTCTTGTTTTGTTTTGTTTTAGAGCCAATTTATTTAGACAACTAAAAACAATTAGATGATATTCAGAAGCAGTGTACAATGAAAAAGAATTGAAACCAATTACTTTATAATGTATATCCCCTCTTCTTTACAACAAAAGCAAAAGTCTCTGTGCTTTAAGGGAAAAGTCAGAAAATAGACCATTATATATTTTTTTTTCTCCGTAATAACATAAACTTGGAAGGAGGAGTGGCATCCACTTCCGTAATAGCTTGCCTCCGGAAACCCTATGAACCTGGAGAGAGGATGAAAGGCACCCGAGCATCGAGGACTCTCCTTCATAGGGTCGCTATGAGTCGCTTGTGACTCGACAGCACTTAACAACAACAATAACATAAACAGCTACAAGAAATCTAATTGTAATAAGAGGAATTGGATGTTGGCTTGCACATATTCATTCTTAAGAACAGTAGGCTGTCTTACTACAAGAGCATAACCCCACCTGCCTTCCTGTGATACTCTTGGGTTTTCACTTACAGGTAATAGGAAGTTAGTTCCAGTACTGGAGCTAATGCATATTCCCCTTTATGTACTGCACACATTTGCTTTAAGCAGAGAGTAACCCTGGTAGGCGGATGCTTTTCTCTCTGCTTGTTTAGTCTGTAGATTGTATACTCTCTGTGGCATATGCCTGATGCTCCGGCTTTGACTTCAGGATGGAACTATAGATGGAATCTGAATTATCTGAAGAAATTTCCTCTAGTTCTTCTTCTGTTGTTTCTAGAAAACTGATCTTGGGTTTTGCCAGATCACCACTATCTTCTTCAGGAAGCACACATTTCCAAAGGCCATATGCTTTTCCTACAACAGTTTGCCACAATCTCAATGTTCCATCTTCAGAATCACTGGCCTCAAGTTCTCTATCAGGACTAAATCTCACACAGTGAATAGGACCAAAATGCCCTTTGTAGGATTCTAGTTCTTCTCCACTATTATAATCATACTTATAAAGTTTAAAATCTTCACCACCTGCAACAAGAAATTCTTTTTCAGGATGAAGAGATGCAGAATTGATGGTTGCAGGAGCTTCAAAAGACTTAATAGGCTCCAAAATTACTGCACTATGAAATGCAATAGATCGTCCATAGGTTATTATCAAGATCTCTCCCTCAGAAATATATTCCATACTGCTAACAAACATATTGAAAGTTCGAGATTTCACTTCTGTCATAGCCTGATCGCAAAGGCGGACAGTTTTATCATCAGCTGAAAGAATCTGTTTATCCTCACTGCACCACAGAGCCTTTTTTATACCAGAAGTGTGACCACTGATTTCCCTAGGTTTTGCTTCAGGTTTGTTCAAGTCGTAGATGTGTAATAGTTTATCTTGTCCCCCAGTTAACAAATAATTACTATCTGAGTGAAATCCACAGTCTTGACAATACGTTTATGAGCCAGGGTCATCAATTCATCTCCTGAGACAGCCTCCCACACTTTGGCTGTGAAATCTGCAGCAGCAGTGGCTGCTTTGGTGGCATCCTTATTCAATGTTGCACCCCAAACAGCACCCTTATGACCCAAAAATGTTCCAATCCAGTCTCCAGTATCTCCCTGGCGTAGCATAGGTTTTCCATCTTTGCAAGCGCTGATTAAGAAATAGCCATAAGGCATGATGCCACTGAAGGCCAGATCCACCACGGGCCGCGTGTGGCCCGAGCAGGTGAGTAGGGGTCTGCCTCAGTGCCATGGTGGCAGCCGACGGAACGATCCGGCTGCGGAGCTGGGGGTCGCGGGCTCTTCCCTCCTCAGCCGCAGCACCTCAGACATCTCAAGCGCCCCTGCCCAGGCACTGGGACTGGGCCAGGGAACTGAAAACAGGCGGCCCAAGAGGTCAGGGAGGGGTCAGGGAGTTCTTCAGGGGCAGCTGCCGAGGAGGGGCAGGGGAGGAGGGAGGAGAAAAGGGGAGGGGGAGACCCGGAATATTGGAGCTGCCTCCTTTACTATCTTCTGTTGAGATATCCTTGGCCCCAGTTACGACCTTTTGGGGAGCCCCTTTCCTACACTCTCTCTGCTTCTTCTCTCTTTTTGTCTCTCCTGCCATTCCTCCTTTCCGAAGCATCTGTGGTATTGGCTGTTTTTTTAAGGTGACTCCTTATCAATTTCTAAGCATGGCCCTCTCAACAGGACCTTTAATTGACTGAGCCCCTGGGTGGACCAGAGTCACTTCACTCGTGTAGTCTGTAGTTACTCCAAAGAACTCTGGTGGTGCCATGCATTATTAGGGCAGTTAACCATAAGATTCTAATCCTCCTGCACACCTTGCTGGACAAAGCTGAGGCAGTCCGCTTCCGTAAAGACTTTGAAGATGGCAAATGTTATGTCAATGTGGATGTGAATTGCAGCGCAATATGCCAAAGTCTATGATGTTTATGACACAGGATTAGTTGTTGTTGTTGTTGTTATGTGCCGTCGAGTTGCCTGCAACTCATAGCGACCCTATGTACAACAGCCCTAAACTCCGCTCTGTCCTGTGCCAATCGCACTGTCTCTGACACTCCCATCCCAATTATCCCAGTCACTGAATCAATCCACCTCATAGAGGGCCTTCCTCTCCTGCGCCGTCCCTCCACCCTCCCAAGCATGATGTCCGGGACACAGGATTAGAGGTGGTTCTATAATGATCTGATCTGTTGAAGAGCAATTCTTCTCAGGTGTATAGCCTACATTAAATACATGTTTGAACTCTTTGACAAATCAGGAGTGTTTTGCATGATTTTGTATCTGGCTCATGAGCTCCAGGATCCTACAATCTTCACCTTTGACATCCTGACCTTGGGCATGTTAGCCTCTGAAGCCTGCAGTCCTGAAACTACTTGGGACCCTCCTGCAAGTCCTCAGCTTCTTGAATTCTGCTGACATGAAAAGCACATCTCTTTTCTTGGTTGTAGGACAGCTGGCTGAGCATTTGGACTCATTAGTCTTACAACATGCTTCTCTCCTGATGTCTGACCCACAAACTTGGAAGTTGTAAGCCTCTATACGTAAGCCATGTCCTCAAAATAAGTATCTGATCTGTTTTCCTGTTTCTAAAAGATCTCAAAAGTTTGCAACTGTGTTTTGAAAGAAAGCCCTATATTTTGTAGTAATAAGTGATATTGCTGAAACAAATTTAAAAAAAATCTAATTCTAAGAGCAGCTGAATGACAACACCAACTGAAATATCAACCTCTAATACTGTCTAAAGTTAAAGTAAAGGCATTTTTAAGAAATGGGATCCTGAAACTTAGAACGAGGACACATGGAAAGACAATTGGGAATATGGGACACTGAGGTTCTAAGCTCTGTGGAATCAGTTGTGTTAATATAACCAGCTTTTCTATCCCCACCTAATAAGATGAATCCAATTGTAGCTAGTGAGTCCTTGTTTGCAAACCCCTCACCTGTGTCAGAGCCTGAGGCATTATCTGAGGCAGAGGCCTTACAAGACATTATTTAATGTTCCCAAGAGCCACCTCTACCACCTATTTTTGCTTCTAGACCTATAACTGGAGTTAAATACTAACAAGTACTTAAAGGTGAAGTACAAATTCTGACCCAGGAAGAGGTCTGCTACATTTCAAAAGAATGATTCCATTCTTCTAATATGTACAAAACAGAAACCTGGAGGATTTGTAAAGGACCTCGGCTACAT